TTTACTGTTACACAGAATGTCAACAGAAGGAATTTTATCAGAACATAGAGTAAAAACTTGACTTATTTAATTATATTCAGTTTAAAAGCATAAAAATATCGAATAATTAAAACTATTTAAGTACRAGAAAACAATGCTTAGGTATCTATAGGTGTAGCCTACATATATACCAAAGGATGAATCGTTTTTTAATTTATATATTGCKTCATGTCAGTTTAATTATAATCTAGGTCAGTGGCATATGTTTTTATGATCGTGAAAGTATGGAAATAGGCAATATATGTTACTAATCATTGAACACATGTATATAGTAATTAGTAATACTATATACATTCTATAAATACTATAATAGTATCTATAGAATGTATACCTATGTGAAGTACAGCGGTATATTATAATTGAGAAGATCACTATAATGTATATGGTAAATTTGAATTCAATGATAAATCATTGTAGATGAAAAAACGACGTTTAGGAAAAAAATACTTTTGKATTGCCCAATTTGACTGTTTATTGAATATTATATTTAAAAATGTATTTTTTTCTGTRCGTGTATCGCATTTATTCGTATTTTAAATTTCATTGTAACAGTCMGTGACAAATTATTCAGATTTAAAGACCTTACCAGTCTTGTAAATAAAACTTTTATTAAACCCAGACCTATGTACAACTTGTGGGGAAACTTTAACTGTTAAACATAACCTCCTATACTGTCGAAACTACGCAGACACCAGAACAGCCTTAAGTATACCTGAGCATCTATATGAAGCACTTGGACCCGATCACGAAAACAATATCAAAACCATAAAGTTTCTTAAAATAACCAAATTGTATAACCTTATCTTGTATTTTTATTTTATTTTATTTTTATCTTTCTCTCACTAYCAATGCTGTACATTATATATTTTAACGTTATACCTTTATAAATAATCTACATTGTACTTAATATTCATAAAGTTATTTTTTATTTAGCACCTAATTTAATGCTTACATTGTACAATATGCCAATAACCTTAGTTGTCGCGGCTCTAATAAATAAATGAAAAAAAAAACTTTTATTTTATATTCAGATAAATGAGTATTAAAATAATTCGTATAAGTATTTCAATGCACTTCGAAAAATATACTTACCTACATTAGAATACTAATTCTACGCTAAATTTGTCAGTTTTTGAATGATTAGAAATTAGCGAGGGTCAATCATAATATTTCATTCGGAGAAAAAACTAGTTTCTTAAATAAATTTAAACTTAAAGATGTGTCCACTTTTTAATAAAATATTTTTTTTGAGAAAAACAAATTTTGTTTTTAAATACTTTTACGTGTTTAGAATATTTTTTTTTCGAAAGGCACATATTATAAGGTAGTACTCAAATAAAAAAAAGTGTTTGAATAATTTTATTACAATACTTTCCAATAGTGGATCTTGTACTATATCAGTAGTAGTTTTAAGAAGTACAAGTTATGATTATTTATGACTGTAAAATCAATAAGACATCTGCTCCATTTAGAGTTTAAAAAAAATATAGGTAATTGTTATGCTATGAATCCTTACTCCATTCAAAATAAWAAAAATAAAATGATATTCATGACGTTAAAATGACTTTTCAAAAATATTTACTAATTTATATATTTTATTAATATAATAATATTATTATCTATAAATTGTTTATGTTTATTTTTAAAATCTTATTTTTTTTTCTGACGATATACCCGAATAGAGTTGGGTCTGACTTAGGAAAAATATCAGGACATTTTTAATCTGTTCAACAGTCACAACATTAATATTTATCGTGRCATGAAAATAATGTTTTACGGTGTTTGGCCGGGAGGTGTTACAGGAAATGTGTGCGGTATTGCCGGAAGACAAACAAGGGCCGGTGCTGGACGACATTCGAAAGATCAGCAAAGAGAGACGGCGGCAACGAGGCGCGACACCCGCGATGTTGACGTCTGCAACGGGTCGCCACGACCGGTCGCCGACCGACGGACTAAATGGCATCTACCGGTCTACATCCGAACTGTCGTACGCCTGCGCCGCGGCCCCGACCACAGACGAAGGTGACGGCCACGGTGCAGGCGTCCTGTGGAAGGCCGACACGGGCACCCTGATGGCCACGGTGCGTGCGGCCAGGCGCAGACAGTCAATGTCCGCCACTGTCGTGTACAACCCGGCGTTCTACGACACGCCAGACTCGCCGCCCGTGGCCACTTCACCAGCCATCAACCCGGCAGGTCAGCCGTATCTACACATGACACCCGAAAACGGGTTCAGTCTGCGTAGCCGGCAGCGGCCGTCACCGGATCCGGACGCTCAGTGATGGTGCAGTGACATCGGCGGCCAATGTTGCACCGACGCTCCGACAACTTACCTACACTGATTATTATAATCATATTGGTGACCCGGGCTGTTTTAAATGTCGCTGAATTTTTTTCGATTCATTCAACACGTTTTGTGAAATTCCATTGGTTGACATGACTATACGAATGATCACATTGTTCGCGATTTCTAAACAACAGATCTTAAGATCTTACAATCTTAAGTTGCTATTTCGATCCTCCCTTTTACAATAAACAACGACAAAGCACATTAAGGAACAATTGAATTGCGACCCGACAAATTATTAATACTTTGAATTTACGGTTAATTTATCATTAATATACATATATTTTTTTAAATAGCAGTATAAATTATAATATTACATTATTGACAGTGTTATCAAATTCATGAACATTTGTATTATTCAACAGAAATTACGTAATTAACAGTGTTTAATTTCAGTGTAACCTGAATATGTAATTAAAGTTATTTTAAAATAATAAAATTACGTAGTATAAAAAAAAAAGCCAGGTCCCAGGTGTATGTCTCGATTGGTGATATAACTAGGTACTCCATGAAAAATATATTTTTATGTTAGTAGTTAATACTACTTTATACTTCTTTTTTTGTATAAAACGAAAAAAAAACGATGACAAAATTTCTAAAGAGAATTGATTTTTGAATGTTCATAAAAATGTTATTTTCCCTCATATGGCATTTAAACATTTATAAAATCCATATATCTTACAACCGTAGGTATATGTAATAACATTGATAATGTCCCATACCCGAATATTTTGTTCTTTAGGTAGGTATAAATACATAATTAACAATTTAATTAACTATGATTAAATTTAKGTTCACAATTCTATCAATATGTGACTATGAATTATATTTTAATAATCATCATAATTATTTATGCAAATAATTTATACACCTATAATTAATTTTGTAGTCACATGTTAACCCTCAACCGTGCAACGCGTCAACGCATACTAACTCCTTGATATAATTGAATGATTGGACATGAACATCATAGAAACCTTTTATGTTCATTGTATAGGTATCTAATGAGAGATGATATACGGTAGCCTATAAGAACAGCGGCTTAGTCAAGGTCATGARTTTGAATTTCACACTTACAACCATATTTTTTTCGTCCAATTTATAAAAAATCTCCATGACAATAATAACTAGAATTCAGAACAAGATTATTAATATAATATAATATATATTATTATTATTATTATTATT